CCCTATGTCATTTCAGACAAATAGTTGTCTGATCTCTTCTTGAAAACCTCCAGTGATGGAGCACTCATAACTTCTCCAGACAAACTGTTCCATTGATTGATTGTACTGTTTAAACATGAAATTTCTGCTTAATTTTAGGTTGGATCGCTCTTTGATAAACTTGTTGACAATTTGATTCTGAACAACTTGGGTCATTCGTCTTTTTATAAATCAGAAAAAAATTGAAGCTCTTTCTAGAAAGAAAAAAAATACCTGACACTGGTAAATCTCATTCATTACTTGAATTAATGGATTAATCAGGCTCTCTTGGAAAATCTTACGGAATATTGCAGGAAATCTGCACCTCGAGGTGCTTTAAGTTTTAAGTTTTAAGCTTTAAGTTGCATGAGATGCTTAAAGTGGAGTTTCTACCAAAGTATTTTGTAAATTGTAGGCTCTGACCCTGGCTTTACATAAGCACATAGACCCATGGTGGTGAACCTATGGCACGCGTGCCAGAGGCGGCACTCAGAGCCCTCTCTGTGGGCATGCACGCCGTCGCCCCAGTCCTAGGCCTTCAGCTGGGTTTTATAAAACCTTTTCGCTTTAGGCCTCCGCCGCCGTGTGCAAAAAAAAAAAAGGTTCAATCAATCAATCAATTTCAACTTCTCACGGGACTCGCAAAGTTGGAACTGATTGATTGAACTTTTTAGTCCCACCCAGTCTGCTGTTATCACCACAGCCACGCCCACCCAATGGGCCACACCCACCCAATGGGCCACGACCATCCAGCACCCGACAATACATAAGTGGGTTTTGGGTTGCAGTTTGGGCACTCGGTCTCTAAAAGGTTCACCATCACTGACATAGACCATGATTAAAAACAATAATTAAGGTGCTGCAGATGCAGGTAGAAAATAGTGCCTTGTGAATACTTGTATGCCATGCAAAAGCGGCCGTAATATTAGTACAACTCTACAAAATCTACAAATGTTTATGAACCTTCTAAATCCATTAATCTATTCTAAAACCCCAGAACAACCGGAAAGAACAGCTAATGTTGATGATGAATGTTTTATGGCTCTTGAAAGTTTTGAAAATATTACACACTTAAGTTTTGTGACCATTATTAAGCTGCCGAGTCTTCTTTTGAGGAGGAGCAAATTAAATTTTATTTTTTTTAAAATTAGACAGTAAAACTGGAATAAACAAACAAAATTTTAAGAAACTGAGTGGAAAAAAGACAGCATAGCATTAAATAAACAAATACAATTATATACAGAAAGTTAACTACACATCAGCAGCAAATTCTGATCATTTTTACTGCAAAGAACTTTCTCATCAGAGACGTGCCAGGCAATACTCAGCTTGATGCACACACATTGCATTTCTGATAACACCACTGCCTTCCATAAGGCTTTTTCATTCTGTGCCCATTTATCGCAATTATCTTAACCATGGACTCTATTGCAGTGTATACATTGTGCTAAGCCAAAACCAAGAAATCCCCATCATGGATTATCATGCTATGAGAATCAATAGTTATTCTGCATCAGGACTAACCATGGCTATTAAAACCTAGATTTTTCTAAGTTTGTAACTAGTCTGAAATTATTAACAAACTTTCTTTTTCAATCAAATTTACATCCTGTGCCATGGTTAAAGCCAAGTTGAGGGGGGGGGGAGATTATGGCTATGAGATCAGAAGCATTACTTTTGTTGCTGACTAAGCTTACATATTTCACTTTAGTGGGATTCACACCTTGTAAACTGAGCATAGTGTTTTTCTCTTAAAATGTAATTCATAACTAAAGTACAGTTGTTGTTAAGAGTCTATTAACATAGCTATATGCAATGCTATATTTCATTGGAAGAAACACATTTTTGTCTGTGGTTACATGATAAAGTTACACATCTTGTTTTACTTCTACACACAAATGGAACTCTTTAAACAAGGTTATAGGATTATTGTGCCATGGAAACTCAAAACAGCTACCATTTTTTTATTCTCATAAATACAATATGATAACTTTAAAGGAGAGCATCCGGTTTATCCTGATTAGAGGCAGTAACATGTGAAGCCTGTAATCTAGGTTAAAGAGTCCTATGTGGCAGGGATTAAAATGGGACTGTACATATGCTTGGTAACTATTGGTAACCATGCACGTTGCACTTTACAGCGAAAACCTGCGAAGATGTTTATTTCTCAAAATAGATACCCAGAACCGCAACTGAAGGAGAATTGAACAGATTGATCAAAATCCCTCCATTAAAAAATAAATTTAAGACACATCCAAGCCTCTTGTCTAAAAGTAAAAAAAAGGAAAGTCCCTGAGCTCCAAGTTATGATCATCTGTACATGTTTGAACTGTTATCTTTTTGTTTAGTATCATATCAAAATAGTTTGAGTTTTGGCCTGAATATAATAAATACCCTTCAAAAACTTGAAGATTGTTATTGCTATCTAAAGAAAATGTATGAGATCAAAGTCTAGATCAGTGTTTCTCAACCGTGGCAACTTTAAGATGTGTGGACTTTAACATGGCCGTATGAGGAATCCTGGGAGTTGAAGTTCACACAACCTAAAGGGCTGAAAAACACTGGTCTAAGATTGATCCTTGTTGATTAAGGACACATATTTTACTTGACTTATATACCCAGTGTTTGGAATCAGTCCACCATCAAGATTCATGGACTGTTTGGACATGGAAAACATAAAAACATTTGATGCTTGAAGGATAAATCTGTACCTCAGTTGCAATAGATTTCTGATCTATGTTTTTTATATAATTTGAATTACAGTTTTCTGATGGAGGCAAGGAGAGCATTTTCAAGTAATAAAGTCAAATTGTCAGGCCTTCCCCACCTTCCAGTTTTGTGGATGGGAGGGTGAATTTCAATATTATACCATTATATTAACTCAGTATGTAGTTTTTCTTCTTTTAGTAATTAATTTGCTGTAATAACATACTGTAATAGAAAATAATACATCTTAGCTTATTTTTCTATGAATGCATTGAATTAATACTAAAGAAACATAACTTTTAATGCCTACTATAAGAATGACATAATGGTAATAAAAGAACTGCATGGGAAAAAAGATAAACAGCACAATTTCTAGTATGGATCTTAAAAAGCTTATTTTTTTCCAATATCTAATCCTGAAGATTATTTTAGCATGCTATTATCAATACAGCTAACATTTAAGTCTCCATGCAGAGTAAAAACATGGTTATGTGCTTTTTGACTATTCTTCAGTTATGATTTTGTATTGAATACCCTGATTGGTCTTTAGAATCCCCGCACAGATGCTAGATTTTTTATTTCCACAATAGCTTTAAAAGACTCATCTCTGTATTTAGATTATTCTGGTTTGAATAAGGTTGCTTTCTCCCTAACGATTGCATGTTTTTGGGATAAAATGGCATCTTTGAAATGACAAATGACTATCTCTTGATTTTGTTGGCACAGCCTTAAACTGAAAACACACATACACACAAATAAGCATGTGATATATTGCATGAAAATCTGTACCACAAATCAATTTGTTATTTTTTAAAGTACTACAATTTTGTGGCAAAAGCATTTACATGAATAATAAAATGCTCAATTGTAGTGCCCCCCAGCCACTTCCCACCATCATGGGAATCTGTAATTCTGGATGTGCAGTCATTACATGCAGAGTACGCATTCTATCACAATATTCTCATTCTGTTGTAAGGGCCTCTGTCCAAGCACGCCTGGTGAAATAATAAATATTTTCAAATTAATAAATAATGGTTCCTTTTATGAACATTTACGATGAATGTCAATTCCTGCCTGCCATGTTCACTCCAAGGAATCTAGCATGTTTGAGACTACGTAGCTCAGCCTTATACTGGTCCACTGTTTACTAAATGATGGACATCAGCAAGACACTTGTTCAAGAATCATCTTTAATGTGAAACTGTTAGCATGCTGAGTATTTCTGCACTGCACTGAAGAAAACATCAGGTAGTATATATTCAATAATGCACAACCTAAAAATGGGGCCAAGCAACAAGCAAATACAACTGTATAATTCTTATACGCAAGTATAGGATTATACCAGAGGCGTCAGGGAAGGAGTATTAGTCTCCAAAATCAGGATGGCTCCCCTTCCTCTCATAAAAAGGAGGACTTTGATTGCCACCATCATCTGGACTGTTTTGACTTTCATACACTACTGGTTATGTGCTGGGACTCCAACCCTTCCCTTTCCATTGGTGCCTGAAAAACCAATCCTTCAAACTCCAGGAATCCTCCACAATTGGGGCTCCACAGAGCCATAGAGAATTAATGAGAGGCAAAAACTGCTATGCATCTCTGAAACCCTTTCTCTTTGTGCAAGGCATTTCTGGGTGACTACTTACAAAAGGCAAAATGCAGCTGCATCACTTGTGCTGAGCTTGTCGGGATTCTGCAGCCGCCAATCATATAGCCCATATATCTGCACAAGAAATATTCCAGATGATGGGGAGTAATGATTGTAGGGAATGAAGATAAATGAATGTATAAGTACATACAACAGAGTAAGGATTTCATTTGTAGAATTGCAGATATTCTTATGCTGTAATCTGTTAATGAAGGTAGAGCAATTTTCAGCAGTGGACGTCAAGTTATAGAATTTTCTCCCCCAAAGAGCTTTCTCAACACCTGCCTGTCTTTTCAATACTAAATCTGTTTTTATGTCTTCCAATTAAAATTATTATATTGCTGTTAGGATTTATCTGGCTGCTATATGCTATTTATTTTTGTTGCATTTGTTTTATTTATTCTTGGATATGCCTTCCCGTGAATATACTGAAGAAAAGCATAAAGAATATTAACACATAAGATAGATGTATATTTTGAATTTAAGTAAAAATTCAAACAAAATTTTGTATTTCCTATCGCAAGGGCGAAATCCAAATGGATACATTTCCCCCTCTTGTGCTCTTATCTAAAATACACTGTATTTGTAAGTTCAAATTCAGAGAGTCACAAATAAGGAAAGATACTAAGATTTTTTTTTAATAAGAGCAACCCAGAAAAGTAATTTTCACCAGCATTGATTCACATTACAGTACATCAATATTAACAGCATTCTCTTTTTTTTCTATTTTTGGTACATAAGATGGAACCTTTCTACATAACCTCATAAGGCATCAGTAACTAAGAGTAAAAAACCTATTAGTTTACAATTTATTTAAAAAATTCAGAAATACACAGCAAGTCCTAAACTTTAGTAGTGCTATCCATACACAACTACCTGGTTTCAGAACCCATTTAAAAGCCCCAACTCTTTCAAGGAAGCTCTGCAACAGTGATGTTGTGCAATATGGATGTTGCTTACTATGACACCCTCCCCCCCCAAATATTACACATGGCACATTCTCATTCAAATTTTGCAATGTAAAAAGTTACAAACATACCTAACCAAATAAATAATAATTAAAAATGAATGTGTTTGTTAAGTATCCTAAAACCACTATGCAGAATAATGGCCGTTTTCTCTCACATATTATATACATGGTAATACCCAGCAAAGGGTACACTGCTACAAAACATGTTAAACAAAGAGTAAACTTGAAATGTTTGATTATTTTCTTTCCATAATAAAAATCTAGCAGCTTGACTAGCTAATGCTGTTGTGTTTTCTTGAATTTGGGAAGTGTTTAATCTATGTCTTCATCCAGTTCGTAATTGTCTTTATCATAAATATCTTTTACTAAAAGAACCCGTACAAGCATATTTTCCAAAGTATTGCGGTCCACTGAAGTGGAAGTATACCAAATGGAACTCTCGGAAGATACTGGGCAAGCTGGCTGCAAATAGAACACGTCCATTCTCTGAGTGAGATTAGGCGGGCTGAAATGAATAAAACAAGAGCAAAATTAATAAGGGACACATTTTATTTTAAATATATGGTCACTTTAATAACCTCAGTTTAAAGCACAATATAAAATAGGTTAGAGCAGAAGGAATATTTATTTACCAGATAGCAGCTATTGACTTTTAAATATCAATGAAATATTCACCGTACAATCTGGATTTCTAAAATAGTGCTATTATACAGGTAGTCCTCGCTGCTTCTTCTTCTTCTTCTTAACTTCCTCCTTTACCACTTTGGGTGTCAAAGGAGATACAAAGTTTTGTAAGTCCTTGCTTAATGACCTAATTAGGACTGGAATTTCCATTGCTGAGTGATACAGTCATTAAACATAACATCACCCGACTGCACAATTTTGATAGTCCTGGTTGCAATCGTAAAGCAAGGATTGTGCCATTGTTAGGCTAGGTCTCATGCTTCTGCTCTGCTGCAGTTGCTTTTGCTTCAACTCCCCTGTGCGCCTATTTTCCCTCAATTCTACCTTTGACCACCCTGTACTCTGCTGCCCTGCACCCTCACTACTCCCAGCTGACCTTTGCTGACTTCTTCTTCCTAGTACTGATGAGGTGGACCTGGAACTTCACAAGGCAGCTGCTGGGCCAAATGAAGCTTTGGGAAGATTATGCAAGGCCAGCAGTTTCATCACAAAGGGCCAGGCCAGGAGCACCTTGTGAGCATCACAAAAAGCCAGGGCAGGTCAATTGGGGTGGAAGGGGATGGCAGTGGTACAAGGCAATCGGGATTCAGGGTGGAGTACAAGTCAGTGAGGGCAGCGGGAGTAGTAGAGTGCAGGGTGGCAGACCCAGGAAAGTATGAGACAGCTGAAAGGCTAGAGATGGGGTGGAGACTGAGGGTGAGAGAGTTCAAGGGCACCTTGAAGTTGTCAATATGGGCAGGCTACTTGATTATGTGACTGTGGGAGTGCCACAATGGCTATAACTTCAAACACCAGGTCTAAATGCCATTTGATTAGCACCACTGTAACTTCAAACTGTTGCTGAAAGATGGCTATTAAGTGGGGACTACCTGCATATATTTTGTTTTCCTGCCATGAAATGATATTAATTACTAACATAATAACCCTGTTTATAAAGTCAAGTAATGCTAATTTGTAAACGTAACTTATATTTTGTTCAGTGGAACAACTTGCCTCCAGAAGTTGTGAATGCTCCAACACTGGAAGTTTTAAAGAAGAGACTGGACAACCATTTGTCTGAAATGGTATAGGGTTTCCTGCCTGAGCAGGGGTTGGACTAGAAGACCTCCAAGGTCCATTCCAATTCTGTCATTCTGTTATTTTACTTACAATGTTCTACTTACTAAAAAAACGTCCTAATGTGTCCAGTGCTCCCTATATTGGCTTCTTAGACGTAACACAAATGTTGCTGTTCCTGTAATAGCTGGTTTTAGGTGGTCTGTGCCTGAATTGAAATATACTTGCTGCAAGTATTTTGGACTGGGTTAAGGAGACTGACATGTATAAAACAAAACAGGATGTTTGTTCCGGCAAAGTGGAACAAGGAAAGGAGGAGCAGTTAAGGAGCAAAGGAAAACCAAGGATATCAGCAGCTGACAGGAGGTTGGAGGGATGCTGGGACCTCAGTAATGGTGGCTGTTGAGATGAGCATACTAGTTGCATAGGCTGTGCATATCACTGATGGCAGGGGCGGAGGAATGGGGAGGGAAGGTGGGCCAAGGGGATATGCCACCCTGGGACCTTGGAGGGAGAAGGTGCTGGAACAATCAGGGCAAAGAGGAAAAGGAAGATGCTGGGAAGATAGGGAGAACAGCACTGAGAGCTGCTATAGAATTGAGAGGGTGACGTTCCTGCAATGTTACCCCTTCTTGCCTAGTCTGGATTTTGTTTGCTCCAAAACCTGGAGGAACACCTGAGTATTATGAGTTTTGGCCCATTAAGCATGAAACTGCTGCTCCTGCTAAGCATGAAACCGGTGATTAGATGTGTGAACATCTAGGATGCTGCAAAGCATGTCTGTAAACAGGATTGTTTAATACATTTAGAAGAAGATTGGGAGATAAGATCATTTAGCAGACACTATCACTGAATATGAGTGATATTACAATTAATATGTAGTTTGATGGTTTCCTTGCGCTGGAATGTTTTCAAGTGCTCCCTGATGGAAATTCTAAAACCAAATGAAAAAAAAAAGTCCACATATAGACTCAGACACAGTTAACATCTTTTTAAAAAAATACCTCCTAGATAAATAGCATTCAAACATTTTCACAGGACATCTAGAAGGATCTGCGATGTTTTCCATCTGTTCAAATACTGGCTCATCGTCTTCATGCTTCCTTTTTCCAGCAGTAATTTTATCTTCTTTTTTTTAAAAAAAGGGAAATTATACAATATTATTTTTATTATTTATTTTACTTTAAAAATGGACATATTATATCACAAAGGGACTGAATTAAATACAAGAATAACAGCTATAATGTTGTGATGCTGCAATCACTGTCTTACCTGAAGGGAGATTCAGGAATATTTTTTCAGTATTTTTTTTTCAGTTAAATATATTTTTTCAGTAAAAGCCTTTTTTCAGCAACTTCATCGAAGTAATTTTAACTGTGGCTTTATCAAGGAAAAGATGAAAAACCTAAGTTCCAGTTCCAGTTATTTTTCTTTTCTGAATGAAGACTCTATCCACACAAGTATTTTATCTTACAAAATAAGCTGAGAATCTGATGTTCTACCTTTCCTTTAAATTTGCTATTTAAACCAAATATACTATTCTAATTCATCAGTCTCTGTCCCAAGTTGGCAGCTACACAATTCTGTTCAGCTGCTTAAAAGTAATTAGTTACTTAGCTTACTTGTTTTTAATTCCACCAATAGTTAAGGATGGCTTGTTGAACTAATTAGTCCATAACACCGAGCTACTAAACCAGAGGTGTCAAACTGGCGGCCCCAAAGGCTGGATGCATCACGTGCAGACCATGCCCACCCTGGCTCCACAAAGGCAAAAAACATTGTGATACATCATGTGATGCGATTGAGTTTGACACCCATGCCCTAAACTAAAACCAAACAAATCACATATAACAATGTATAATATGCGAACCTAGTTAATATGAGGACAAGTATAGTTAAGGTGAATGACATTTAAAGAGTAAACAATAAGAGAAAAATAAGATCCTGAATTTAATCTCTGGGTAGAGACGTACAACGTTTGAAAACTATGGAGAAGTACTGCCAGCAGTGTGTGTGTGTGTGTGTGTGTGTGTGTGTGTGTACACAATAGTGAATCACTATCTTGTATTATTTTATTTTCTTTCTAGAACAGCGGTTCTCAACCTATGGGTCACGACCCCATTTGGGGTCGATCGACCATTTCATGGGGGTTGCCAAGCAAGGCTGTCCGCCATTTTTTCCCCCTTTTCCGGCGGGTGCCTTACCTCCCTTGGGCTGGGCCAGCTGGTGGTCGGCTTGCTCCGTCTCTGCTGCTTGCCAGTTACGCCTCAGCCGGCGCAGGGGGCGGAACCACGCATGCGCGGCGCTCCCGGGCAGGGAAAGTCCTCGACTTACGACCGGTTGGGTAGTCCTTGACTTATGACCGGTTTAGTCCTCGACTTATGACCGACTTAGTCCTCGACTTACGACCGGTTGGGGGTCGCAGCATTAAAAAGGTTGAGAACCACTGTTCTAGAACCTACATAAAATACACCCCTCTGCTTCAGATAGAAACCAGTGAATAATAGAAAAAAATCATATCCAAGTATCACAGGGGCTCCAGTGTCTTTCTACAATGTCTACTGGTTTTGCAAGCAGTGTAGCCGAGTAACTTTTGCCATTTGGAGAAAAAGTTGCAATACCTTCATTATCTGTTCCACACAGAGAGGAAACCTGATATCTAAGACAAGCTTTGCTTTCCATCGTTAGAGGATTCTTCTTCCAATGTCTATAAACAGTGCCAAAGGAAAGTCTTAAGTGCTGCTCCACTGTTTTCAGACCAAAATACTTGGTGTTGAAGTAGAATAGTGTATTTAAAAGAGCAGCTGGAGAATGGGATCCCAGCTGTTTAATCTTCCAGAGATAGTCCTCCTCAACTCGAGAAAATATTGAACCTGGAAGGTGAAAAAGAAAAGACTTATAAAGAATCAGCCTGTAAACAGACTTAAGCAAATCTAACATAAAAAACCTAAGAAAATAAAAAAGAGGTTATATTAATCTGAAAAACATGTGAAATATTTAAGATCAAATACCTTAGCCCAACAAATTAACCAAAGACTAAACTGTGCTTATAAACTCAACATTCTTTACATAGCTTGTAACAATTAGTCATGAATTATTCTGGCTGAATTGCTTAAAGAACACAAAGCCAAAAAGATAAAAAAAAACAAAACCAAAACAAGATAAATTACCATCTGGAAGTATGCTGGGCTGCCAGCTTCTGAGTATTTTATTTATTTCCTGCATAAATGTATGATAATTAGTATCCAAAAAGATATTATCTTCTCGATTGCTTCCATTCAGGTACTATAGAAAAGAGGGAACATAAAAGTTAGTATATTCAAACAAAAGAAGATTGCCAAACTGTTCTTGATCATTTTCATGCATATAAAAAAGTAACTGCATAAGAAAGCAATCTTAATTTAACTACTAATTGGTTTGATCTTTGTGAGGAATTTGGGATTAAGGAAGTAGGGAGTGGTTTTTATACAACCTCTCATTCTATTCCAAGGATCCTGCAGCTCAATCTCAAAACACATGACTTGAAGGAGCCTTGTTTTAAAATTGGCCAAGGTTTGTTATAAACCATGATCCCTAGATAGTATGCAACAAAAAGCTGAAATTCAGGGAGTGTATGAAAGGGTAAATATGAGTTCTCCAGCCCATGGGGGAACAGGAGGAGAAAAGTACATAAGCCTGGGTCCTGCTTCTGTTCATTCCAATTGATCTACATGACATTAAACCATAGCTTTGTAGAAAGTGTAAATGCAGCTAGTATTTCAACTGATAATTCTATGTTCTGTCAATCACATTTATTTGAAAAAATATAGCAACCACATGCAGATTATCTAATATTTAAATTACTCACTTCCTGAATCCCAAGACACAAATAATAGATACTGTCAGGTGCATAGTTTTCTCCGTTTGGTCTTCGGACTTCATTTACAAAGTGTGCCAGCCCAAAATTTAGCTCAGTAGAAGTATGTGATATAATATCTTCTTTCAATTTTACTGACTTTGCTGTAGTGGGAAATGTAGGGTATCATGTAATGCTGTTTCTTATTAATAAAATAAAGCACCCAGCAGATGAGTATAAAATAAAGGAAACATTCAAATATTGCAAATATCATCATAAAAACCTCTTTCAAACGTAAGACATATAGCAAGAGCTTTTCACTTAAAATATTGATTTCTATGCTACACATAATGTTTAGTTTGCAGTAACTGTCAACATACAATGACCTCATTTGATGATCAGATTCTGAAGATGAAGACATAATTTGCCCTTCACAACCCCAGTAAGCCCATTAGAAAAACAATATCTGAATCCAGATCCAAGCTCTACAGCTTTATCTGCTGGGCATATTCTCTGTATGTTTTAAACTAAAGACTTAAAGCTAAGCGAGATACTTACTTGATTTTAGCTCATCTAGTACTGACAGATCTTCCTCTAGGTTCCTAGCTTTTACCCAGTGTTTCCATGCATTCACACCATATGCATACTTGAAAGGAAAACTGCACTCTGAGTTCTCAGAGCCATCATCTTGAGAATGGTATTCTGACACTGCTTTTCTCTTTAGTCCCTGTCATCAAAATAGACTTTGTTTATTAACAGTGCTTATTAACACTGAACAACCAATGATACTATTTTTTTTAAAGAGAGGTGAGATCCAATTATGCCAGAGGCACCAACTATGAAACAGGCATTGGGAGTGAAGTTTGAGATTCTTAAATTAGTTGTGTTCATGAATGTATACAAACAGCAATATCTATTTCACACTATAAATTATGAAATTTGAAAAGACACACGGCGTATAAAACAATACCAACAAGCACAAGTCACCTGCCTCATTGCCCCTCAAGGTACAGTTATCAGACTACCATCACAAGAAGACACAACCATAGAAGATACTATTTGTGTTTACCACTCTAATTACAAATATAGATTATACCTTCTTTTTACTTCGAGGTCTTGGCTGTTCCTCGTATTCTTCTCCAAATACAGATGGTAGCAAAAATTCATTCTCTGTGTCAAGTTCTTCTGTTGCTGCATATATATAAAAGTATATCCACCAAGGATATAGTTAACATGCAGTCCAACATTTTGTACATATATTTATAAGTGATGAAGAAATTATTTGTTTTACAATATATTTTCCACAGGATTCAAAGGTACTTTTAACAATTGTAGAAAATAATGCAAGTGAATATTCTAGTTATTTTAATTAATGTTATATCAATTATATCTGACATACACTCCCTTTTTACTGCTATATTATTCTCTCTCTCTCTCCCTCTCTCTCTCTCTGTATATATATATATATATAATGTATATCATACATATATAAATTACTCAAACTATTGGGTATTTCCATATATAAAAATACTTTAATAATCGAATCCTGATCAACTGTAATTCTAGTCTATGCAATTAAATACAGATTTAGGCGCGTGTGCGTGTACACACACACATTTCCTGGTCCTTGCCTACTCCTATTCCTATATGATCTTTTGCATCTTTTTACACATGGGACTTCTTTGCAAAAATGTTCCAAGTCAGTTTCCCTAAACTGGTTCCTTCCCAAAGATGGTGCTGTTCTCATTCCTCCCCATGGACCTCATTTTGTCAAGACTGTCTGTTAGTAACTGTTCTTGTAAATTCCAGCTTGTATCATTAATAATTTGTACCCACTTTGTCTTCTGTAAGTCTCTTTTAGAATTGCCTTCAAGTTTTTCCAAGCATCTCCATTGACCTGTCTCTGTATTATGTGTAAAATACTGAAATTTTAGCTTCATTACTACTTCTTTCATGGGCTGTCTGTTTTTAACTTCATGGAAGTATTGGTTTGTTTTTCTTGTGACTTAAGCCATTTTTCTGGCAGGGTTGGGGTGCTCTGAGTGTTTTTCAATGTCATCTATCAGGATCTTGGAAGTGTGTTTTCTCTGTAGCAGCACCTGCCCTCTGGAATAAGATTCCCTTGGAGATTCAGATGGTCCCCACCTTACTGTGTTTTGAAGACTTTGGAAGACCTGGCTCTTCGCCAGACCTTTGATGAAGGTGAAGGCCCCTTAAGATTATGTGGTTTAAATTTTCTTTGTTCCCATCTTTGTGCCTTGTGCTTTATTTTCTTTTGTTTTCTTGTTTTTAATGTTTTAAACAACTGGTGAACTGCCCAGAATCACTAGGAGTTGGGCAGCATATAAAATGAATAAATAAATAAAACCAATTTCCTGCAGCAATGCAATTGAAAAGCATCCGTTTTCCTTCATTTAGTCTTTTGACAATTTAGCTTTCAGAGTTTTATGTAACAGCTAGGAGCTAAATGTATTGTTGTCCCATATTCCTGTGATGACTCAGCACTATGTTATTTTGTCTATATTTATCTCTGTCTTTTTTATTATCTTTGGGTTTCTCATGGCCTTCTTTGCATGAAAGATTCCCTTAATTTCAATCTCTTGCTTAAATATATCTGTTGTCCTTATTTTATTATCTTTTACCGTATTTTCTGGCGTATAAGACGACTTTCTAAGCCCTGAAAATCTTCTCAAAAGTCGGGGGTCGTCTTATACGCCCAGTCGTCTTATACGCCAGAAAATACGGTAAATGCAATCAACAAAGACCGCTTATAATGCACATTTTAGCTTTAGCGAATGGGATATAAATCAGCTTTTAAACCGTCCTGCTAGTTCAAAAGATTCATAATGAAAAGTTATGAAACTGAACCCAAATTAAAATCTCTCTCAAAGGAAATGAAGAGGGTTTCAGGAAACGCGGACCCACTGAAGGAACTTGCATAGAGTTTCCCCAATTGGGAGGGACTCTCCCAGTTGCTAAAAAGAACTTGTGAACGGATGAATTCCTCCGGGGGAAGACTGAGCAACCAGGCAAAACGAGCGCCTCGCTTCTCAGCGCCTTTCGGGCAGCGGGCAGGCGGGCAGAAAAGAGGCCTTGCTGCGGCTTCTGGGGTTGCGCGGGGTGGGGCAAGAGGTTTCAAAGTGTAACAGAGATCAGATCCCATCCGCATTTGCACTGGGGGGGGCGTGCCGGGGAGGAACCCTGCGGGGAAGTCTGAAGAAGCAATAGCAGACGTATCCGAATAAAGTGACCTGGGAGTTCTTGAAGGCAGACAAAACAGTGAAAATCGAAATTAGGGCGCGTGGCAACGAGTGAGGCAATTGAAGCGTTTTGAAAACAGCAAACGCTTAAGAGCTGGAAAATAGCATTTTTGAAGGAGCGAATTGGGCGTCTCGCTGGTGCCTGCTGTCTAAATGCGTCCAGTGAAGAAACTCCCGTTAAAGCTAACGTGAAAGGAACAGGCGATAGCAGGCAGGGAGCGAGCGCAACGGTTCTTAGGAGAAACTTGGGGTGGATGAATAAAAACGCTCATGTGCTTGTGCGCCCTACTTGTGTAGGTGATTGAAGGTGAGAAATGCCGTTTTACGAAAATATTAAAAACGTGGAAAAAACGCGCGAGGTGCAATGAATGCAAAGAGAGAAATGTACGGCTGAGGGGTGCGGGTGCGTGCCCTCATAGTTTAGAAAATAAAGCCTTACTAAGTTCCTTTTTCATCCATGCCCTAGGCTGTGTAATTATATATAGTGACATGTTGCATGTTGCTCTTTCATGTGGCTGTTGTTACTGTGTAAAGGCACTGTGGGATTTCATGCTTCATTGCCTTGACAGGAACATCCTTTTCATGCTGATGTTTGCAGAGTTACTAAAAAGTGCACTACTGCTCAGACACAACAAAAGCAACAGCTCTCCCCCAT